GCGAGATAAACAAGGCAAACGACAAATGCACACCAACGATGCATTATAGCTCTCTAACTCTCAGTCCAGCTCCTCCAGTTCCAGTTACCCCGCTCAAGTGGGATCCTCTGCCGCCAAATCCCTTTATTGGTGTTTGTTATGGAACGCTTGGTTCAAACCTACCATCACCGATAGATGTTGTAGCTTTCTACAAGCAGAACAACATTGGAAAAATTAGACTCTACAATCCTGACCATGATGTTTTACAAGCACTTAGAGGATCCAACATTGAGGTCATGCTTGGTGTTCCGAACGATGATATTGATTACATAGCTGCCAGTCAAGACCATGCAGATGCATGGGTCCAGAACAATGTCACAAAATATGGTGATGTCAAGTTTATGTACATTTCTGTTGGGAGGGGACTGAATCCTGGTTATTTGTCAATGATATCACTACTCCCTGCAATGCAGAACATTCATAATGCAGTTTCAGTTACTGGCCTTGAGATCAAGGTATCCACGTCAATTAACACAAGCATGCTGGAAACATCGGTGCTAGAAACCGCTCCATCAAAGGCCTCTTTCAGAGAAGATTGCAGGATGGTTCTTGATCCTGTCATCAGTTTCTTAAAGAAAATCTCAGCCCCATTGCTCGTTGACGTGTATCCATATTCCGCTTATCTTTCCAGACCCTATCCTTATTTTATTCTGGAATATGCAGTTTTTGTACGTCCACTTTACCCTAGTCCCTTGTTTAATGATTCTTCTTTGATATACCATTCCATTTTTGATTGGATGGTAGACTCTGTTTCTACTGCGATTGAAAAGTCTGGTGGGGGTTCTTTGGAGATTGTGGTATCAGAAAGTGGTTGGCCCTCAGCCGGCGTTCCAGAACAAACCATTGAGACTGCCGAGACTTACATCTTCAACCTAATAAATCATGTGAAGGTAGGGACTCCAAAGAACCCCGGAAAACCCATTGAAACTTACATTTTCTCCATGTTTGATGAGAGTAATAAACATCCAGAAGTCGAGAAACATTGGGGGCTCTTTCTTCCAAACAAGCAGCCTAAATATGACTCATTTAGGACACCATTATTCCAGCCAAGTTCTGCTGCTGCAAACCCACCAATCTTTGGGTCTGCTCCACATGGACTCCGTGATCCCTTTCCTTCAAGAGGAAGATGGAACCGGGGAAAATTACCAGTGGGAATTACTATTGCAGCATGTGCTCTGTTGTTTGGTTTAGGTTTCATCATTCTGT